CCCCAACACCGCCGGAGAGCACTCACAGTTTTCTTGGCAACCCGCCACTCGCTGTCGGCGATGCTGTGGTACCGGACCAGGGTGTTCCGCAGCTTGGTGGCCAGCGGGGCCGAATCGGGCAAGAGATCCATCGGTGGGCTCCCCTCCAAGCTGTCACACCGGCACGGAGGGAGGCATCAGAGCGGGACAACACACGAGGGGACGCCAACAACCCAAACAAACCACTGCCACCACCGCCTCCCCTTCACACACACAGGTGTCCTGCCATTGGGGTGACCCCGGGCGGTTGTCAGGGCCATACACACACACACACATAGAGTTTCGTAGGTCGCCTGCCTCCCCCGCGGCGCCAGGCCTCTCCCGGAGCTGGCCGGCCGCTGGCAGGGGCGTGAGGGCCGCCATCCCCCCGCTGCCGGCTCCGGTCCCGGCTCCCCGCACTCACCCGCCGTCTGACCCTCAGCCTCCTCCGCTTCCCCGCCGGCACCACTGCCGGCCGGCCCCGGCTGCCCGACGGCTGATAGCCGGCAGCCAATGAGAGCGCCGCCGGCTTCCCGGCGCAGCCAATGGCGGCGCGCCTCGCCGAAGGCAGGGGACGAGCTCGCTCACCGCCTTCCCGGATCACGCGACCTCTGGACATGGTCACCGGGCGTGTCGTCACGAGGAGGGAGAAGAAGGGCCGCCCTCCCATTCGCTGCGGCGGAGGGGCGCTGCGTCCTGATTGGGTGGAGGGAGTGGAGTGATGGGCGGGGCGGGTATAAGTGCCACCGCCAGCTCGAGAGCGGTAGGAAGTGGGTCCATCTTGTCTCGGTTGGCTGGGTCTGGCCTCACTGAGGCGGCGGGAAAGGCCTTGGGGCGGCCCGTCTGCTGGGCCCCGTCGCAGTCCCGGTAGCGCCAGGCAGGGCCCCATGATCTGCAGCGACAGCACCTTACCACAGCAGCGCCTTCGAGCAGGGTGAGCCTGGGTCACCTGTGCCAGGGCTCGGCTTCTCACGTGTGGCCTGTTGCTGTCTCTTTGTAAAGGCTTTTTTTTTGCTGTGACTTCATACCGGTTTACACGGGTTTGCGGCTAAAGCATCCTGGGGATTCGCTGCTCAGCTGAGGGTCCTGCAAGCACAGATGTGGTGGTATGGGCTGGACTGGCCACTGAAAGGGACAGCCGATGCTCTTCGCCACTGCTCTTTCCAAGGAGAGGAGGGAGAGAGGGAAAGAGACCTAAGGGTTTTAAAAAAGAAAATAATTAAAATATTAATAAAATACTAATATTATTAATAATAAAATGAAATATATATGATATATACAAAACTGCACCAAGCTCCTGGGATGACGATCAAGTCACAAGCACACACGGGAAGTCTCAGACTGGATGTAGCAACAGATGGGAGCTGAACTCGGGAACTGAATTCAGGAGCTCACTAGATCAGGATCAAATGCAGATGACCAGATAGCGTCCTCCTCAGATGCCAGCCATTGAAGAAAGAGGGCTTATCTCTTTAGTCCCTCAACTTTTCTACTGACCATGACGCAGCTGGGATGGAATACTCTGTTGGTCAGCTTTGGGTCACCTCTGTAATCTGCTGCTCCCCACAGGTGCAACCACTCTATGTTCTTCTGCTTCCAGCCCTCCAATGGGGCAAATAACAAAGTTAGCTGGTCTTGGTTGTTATAGCAATAACTATAAGCAACAGCTTTTCTGCATACCATTCTTTGGCATGCATTAGAAAGGTCTTTATCTCTCTGGGAACAAACAGTGTCTGGACATTATGCTGTTAATTAGGTTTAGCTGAAAAATAAAATTACTGAACAGAAAATGGGTTCTGTTTTACCTCAAACCAGGACAGGTGGGCAGGAGCAGTGATAAGTGTTTTCCATGGGTCAGCACTCCTGGGTTGCTGTTAGCTATGACTTTTATCACAACATTCGAGTCTAAAAACAGAATGTTTGTCCAGCCATGAAGGGCTTAAGATGATGCAGAGCACATCAAGTGACACGTTGCAGTGAGAAAGCCTGAGATACTCTTCAGTCAGTGGTTCTTACAATGTGGTTGAGCAGGATTTTGACTAAGTGTTCAAGTTTTGCTTTGTTCTGTAAGGCACAAGCAGACCAGATTCTTCTTAGGAATAAGGCAGTGCTTGTGGTCAGCCCCAGCTGAAGGAAACTTCAAAGTGTGTGTAACTGCTTGTTTCCTGCAGAATTGCACTGTTCACTGGACTTCACCCAGCTCAGTCCCACAGAATCACATTGGGCAACATCCATGCAAAAAGATCAAACTCTTGAAAGGGCAGAAAAATAAATGGGGCAACAAGTAGGCAGTTAGAAAGAGTGGAAGGACAACAGATCTTCGTGTGGTAGCGTGTTGTTCATTTTGGCCAGTGCTGGCTCCCAAACTAAATACTTTGAACATGGTTGTGTTCTCAATACTTGGCTTTACACCAGGCTTTTTTAACTGCTTCTAGGTCCCCTTGCAGTTTACCACTTTTGATCATTTTTCCTTAAATGAAAATGGGTCTCTAAAAAAGGTCATGCTTTTAAGGAGATACTAAACAAAAAGTGAAGATGTCTTACATGCAATCCTTGAAATTTTACAATACAGAATCAAAAGAGTGGTTTTGAGCTGAAAGTGTACCAACATTGTATGAATGTATTTTACCTGTATTCCTTCAGACTTCTGTCTGGTGTCTTTCTGTGAGTGAAAAACTGTACATCTGACCTGCCCCTGGCTGCTTTCTCCATTCTTCCCTGCCCCATTTCACATCTTGAAGCACAGTGTTTTCTTGCCTTTGAGTATGACTTTCCTTCCCCATGGGCTGTTACCTGGTTTAAACCACCAACGTAAGCATGTTCATTTTTTTTAGAGGGAAACTTCTATTTCTTGAACTGGCCTGGATGGATTTTAATGGAAGGCAACCTGGTCTCTTAAAAGCTGCTCTGGCAGCTTGTACAGCAAGTTCCTTAAGCTTAGGAGGACTGCAAGTCTTCTGTAAAGCCCCTGGATACCTTATATTCTGATATCCAATATCAGTTTTATGAATTGGGCCAACTGGATGCTTTCAGAGCTTATAAACTAGTTCTTCACCACAGCAAGATGGGTACTTCTGTATCGTTTAGGCTTCCCAGCTGTGCAGTGCAAAGTGCCAGTGAAGCACCTGGCATATGCAGTCACCCCTGAGATATGCATTATTGCTGTAGTACAAGGAACTGCATGCATCTAACCCTAACATCTTGCAAGGGTGTTAGAGGTGACAAAATGTGTGCGGTTCACCAAACATACTGGACCAAGTTGTGCTTTTCTAGCAAAGGCTATAGAACAGTTAATATATAATGTGCTCACTGTCCTACGATGCTTAGCAGGCCAGTTTCAATCCAAAACAGTACTCAAGTATTTTACTGAATCAAACTTAAACTCCAGCTGTTGAAAGAAGAATAATTAATGGCACATATGTCTCATTAAAGTTATTCTGGCCAAGATATTCCTCTTAAATATGAATGTTTCTAGTACCCTTTCCAGTTAGAAAGATGATCTTGAGGTCCAATCCAACCTTGTACTCCATGATTCTAGAGCTAACAGGCTGCCCTTCATACTTCGTAATGTATTTGATAGTCTCAAACCTAAATATAATTTGAACTTGTGTCACAAGGAGAACTCTGAAAAGTTATTGAGAAAGCCTGTTCTGCCTAACAGACACTTTACAACCTATTTTTTCCTCCCAAGGGTGCTCCTTGCCTGTTGAGCTGGCCTGATCATACAGAGTTATCTCCCTTTGGAATTAAATTAATACAACTCTTCAGAATCAAATCTGAATTTGGAAATAGATAGACTAGTCCCAGTTCAATGTTACCAGGCTTCCTGTTTTCTAATTGCTTTTTACCAGCTAATCAATAGCTACAAACAAGTTGAAAAGCTGGGATTTTTTCCCCTAATTTTCTGCTTCATTAGGAGCTTTCTGCTTTGTGTGAGCATTGACTAAGGCTTGTGCAATTAAAGGCATCAGAGAATTCCCATGCAGAAGTCTGGCGATAATGGGGTCTGGCATCCTTTATTCTTTTGAGCACCTGCATTCTCTTTGACTGGTGGGTTAACAAGAGCCATTGTACAATTTTTTTTATTTTTTTTTTTTTTTAGAAGGAAAATGTAACTAAGTAACTATTGTTTAACATTTTTGAGGAAAAAGCAGTATTTTCTTGCTGGATTTTTCAACTATTCATTTTCTGGTGAATAGACTACAACATATCAGTGCAGGGTGATTACTAAGGTGATCCAACACATTTATTCTGAGTTTGAGTCTTTTTTAGTAGTTATACAGGTACAAAAAGTAGCTGCAATGTCTGTGACAATGCATGTTCTGTAGTACAATTCTGAATTGAACTAATTTGGTTGGTTTTTTTTTTTTTTTCAGATTAGTAATTTCTGTGGGATATTAAAGAGTGCAATGATTGATTGATTGATTGATCTGTTTCTAGGCCAGTGCTCAATTTGGTCATGAACATTGTGTTTCCCTTACAGTCTTCTGACCACTTAATTTTCCTGAGCTAGTTATTGTGCTCGGGGTTACCAGACATTAGACTTGAACCCAGTTGAACCTGCCCGCTGGTGCAAGAGATCTCATTAATTTCAAGCAGTGGAAAGTACTTAAAACTGTGAATACAAAATCAAAATGTTGTTGGGTGGTTTTTTTTCAGATATGCTGCTTTTAACTGTGAAAGGTAGGAAACACGTATGTCAGCGTTCTGCAGGTTTGGGGCCTTTACACAGGCACAAAGTTTCATGGTAAGCTTCAGACTTTCTAGACCCAGGCCTTCTGTGTTGCATAAAACATGCAGGCTTTATAGCCCTTTAAAACTGTTCTTACTGAATGGTTGAGGCTGGCAGGGACCTCTGGAGATCATCTGGTCCAACTCCCCTGCTCAAGCATGGCTTCCTGGAGCCAGGTGCCCAGAACTATTCCCAGACAGCTTTTGAGTATCTCCAAGGTTGGAGACTCCACAGCCTCTCTGGGTAACCTGTGCCAGTGCTCACTCACCCTCACAGTGAAAAAGTATTGCCTGATGTTAGGAGGAACCTCCTGTGTTTTGATCTGTGCCCATTGCCTCTGGTCCTGGCCCTGGGCACCACTGAAAAGAGCCTGGTTCTGTCCTCTTTGGACCCTCCCTGCAGGTGTCTACATACATTGATGAGATCCCCTGAGCCTTTTCTTTTCCAGGCTGAAGAGTCCCAGCTCTCTCAGCCTCTCCTCCTGTGAGAGATGGTCCAGTCCTTTCATCATCTTGGTGGCCCTTTGCTGGACTCTCTCCAGTATGTACATGTCTCCTTTGTACTGTGGAACCCAGCACTGGATGCAGCACTCCAGGTGTGGCCTCACCAGTACTGAGTAGAGGGGATGTTCTGGCTCATGTTCAAATTGGTGTCCACCAGGACCCCCAGGGCCTTTTCTGCAAAGCCGCTTTCCAGCTGGGCAGGCCCCATCATGTACTGGTGCCTGGGGTTGTTCCTCGCCAGGTGCAGGACTTCGCACTGCCCCTTGT